TCAGTTCGCAGCAGACACGAGCTGGGTGTCCTCTAATTCAGTTCTGTTCTAACACTATCTACCTGGAGGCAGCGTCAGAGCCCGCAACAGGAGGGCTTGATCCCCAAGACTGTGCCCCCTACCCATGCCAGTCTCAGGCCCACGTGTTTACCTGTGCTTCTGACCAACTGGCTATAAATCAGGGACCCCACGACCCCCTCCTTGGGATCGATTAATTTGCTGGAGTGGCTCACAGAACTCAGAGAAACCTTACATTTACCAGTTTATTAGAAAGGATATTACAAAGGATACAAATGAGATGCATAGGGCAAGGCATGTGGGAGGGAGCGCGGAGCTTCCAGGGCTTGGCACCCTCCAGGAACCTCCACGTGCCCAGCTACCAGAAGCTCTCTGAACCCTGTCTTCTTGGGTTTTTGTGGAGGCTTCATTACAAAGTCATGACTGATGAAACCATTGGCCATTGGCGAACAGCTTAACCTTTAGCCCCCTTCCCTCCCAGCATGTGGGATGGTAGGATGAAAGTCCCAGCCCTCTAATCCTGCCTATGTCTCTCGGATGACCAGCCTCCATCCTGAAGCTATCTAGGGGCTGCCAGCCTTCAGTCAATCCATTAGTACACAGAAAGAGATCACTTTGGAGAGTAAGGCTTTTAGGAGTTATGTGCCAGAAATGGGGTTAAAGATGAAATATATGTTTACTAATATCACAAGGGTTATGATGTGTAAAGGGGGCTGAAACTCGCTAGGAATCCAAGAATACAAAATAAAGAGAGGCCGGGAGCAGTGGCACACACCTGTAATCCCAGCACTTTGGGAGGCTGGGGCAGGAGGATCACTTGAGGCCAGGAGTTCAAGATCAGCCTGAACAACATAGCAAGACCCTTTCTCTGCAAAAAAAATTTAAAAATTAACCAGACATGGTGGCATGTGCCTGTAGTCCCAGCTACTCAGGAGGTGGGAGGATTGTTTGAGCCTGGGAGGTCGAGGCTGCAGTGAGCCACGATTGTACCACTGTACTCCAGCCTGGGCAGCAGAGACCCTGACTCAAAAAATAAATAAATGAAGCCAGGTAACACTCGAGAGCCATTTGACTGGAAAAAAGCAGAAAGTTGGTGGGATGTGGGGCTGTTGGGACCCCTCGGGTGCTGCTGATGGGCAAGTGGACAAGGCTGCCCACTCTGGAATGCACCTGGCTGCACTCAGGCAGATGTCTGCAGACTGAGACCCAGGACCGCTACCCCTGGGTGCACTGACAAAGGAATGCCAACAGATCCCTATCGGAACACGCCTGAGGATGCGCACTACAGCTTCCTTTGTGGGAGGGGAGTGGGGTACGGTGGGGTCCCTCATTGGGAGGACAGAGACACAAAAGAGGATGCCGCATGGAGCACCAAGCAGTTAAAGCAACTCGGTGTTCACAGAGCAGCATGGACGGATCCTAAAGCCATGGTGCCGAGTGCAAAGAGAACCCGACACAGAATGGAACCCAGATGGTAATGTTTGGTAAACTAAAAACTGATCAATAGCCAGGTATGGTGGCGCACGTCTGTAGTCCCAGCCACTCAGGAAGCTGAGGTGGAAGGATCGCTTGAGCCCAGGAGTTGGAGTCCAGCCTGGGCAACATGGTGAGACCTCGTCTCTTTAAAAAACAAAAAATACAAAAATAAAAATCAATAAATAAAACAACACACATTTTGCAAGAACACAACCCAATCAAAAATGATACATCAAACACAATAGAACGTCACCTGAGGGATGGGCACAAAAAGGCCGTGATTATAGGAATGAAAATGAAATAAAACCAGAGAGATCTTGCACCTCACCAAAGACAGCTGCTAGTTAGAAGGATGAGGGTGGTCCCAGGGTTGAACTCGCCCCGCACCAGAACCAACTGTGCCTGGGGAAGTACTGACTGAGGACGGGGTAGGAGAGATGGTGGGTCCAGGATGCCACTTTGCCTAGGAGCTCTTGAGTTGGTGCAGCCCCAGGGCTTTTTTCAATCTTCTCTTTCTTGTTAACAAAGTCCTCTGGAACTGATTCTGTAGTTTTTCAATTTGCTACTGACACCTAGAAGGAAAACAGAACTAAAGACAGAAATCCAGTCCTATCCCTGTTATATTGGGACCATCTGACTGAGGAAGTCTCCTGTGGAGACCACCACGCTGCCCTCTGAAGTCACCTCCCATGGTGGCCTGGGGCAGGTCCTCCCCTCTGTTCGCCTCTAGCCCTTCTGCACTCAGGAGAGGCCCCTCCTGCCTGGATAGCCTGTGCACAGCACGCTTCCCCTCACCATTGTCCTCTCTGTTTTCTAGTGGGAGGTCTGAAGAGCCCTTGGAGGGGAGAATATAAAGAACCAAGACATCCACCACCAAATCAAGCCAATTATCACCAGACCGTCCATGCCCAGCCGAGGGAGTTTTCGCCAAGGGCCCCAGAGCCTCGGCCAGTTGAGGAGACAACAGGCAGAGCCCCTAAGCTCCAGCCTCCTCTCCCACCAGAGCCCCCAGAGCCAAACAAGTCTCCTCCCTTGACTTTGAGCAAGGAGGAGTCTGGGATGTGGGAACCCTTACCTCTGTCTTCCCTGGAGCCAGCCCCTGCCAGAAACCCCAGCTCACCAGAGCGGAAAGCAACCTTCCCGGAGCAGGAACTGCAGCAGCTGGAAATAGGTACGGGCAACCATGGCTGCAGCTGGGCCCCCGAGCACTGGCCGCGGAGGGAGGCCGGCGCTTCTTATCTGCGGTGTGGGCTTGCTTCCAGCCCCTTCCCCAGCAGCTCAGCTTCTACAGACTGTGCAGGAAGAACCCCTGAAAACACAGCCAGCCTCCTCCCAGTCTTCCACAGCCATTTTCTTCCACTTTTCCCTGCAGAATTATTCCTGAACAGCCTGTCCCAGCCATTTTCTCTGGAGGAGCAAGAGCAAATTCTCTCGTGCCTCAGCATCGACAGCCTCTCCCTGTCGGATGACAGCGAGAAGGTGAGTCAGTTGTGGCCCCGCAGCCATGGCTCCAGGGGTGTGGTTCTCCCGGTCCTGGCACAGAGCAAATAGCTTTGCGTCCAGCTAGTGAATGGACTCTGCAAGTAGTGGGTAAAGGGAGGGTGATGGGGGTCACCCCTTCCTTCTGGTAGGGGTCCTTACTAGGTCGGGGGAGGTGGTCATGGTTCAGAGTGAGAGAAACAATGGGAATCTACCCTTCTGGGATTAGGGAATGTGTTTTGCCACCAGAGATAATGGGGAGGCAGGCCTTGGTCCCCCGTGGAGGCAACCCTTACCCTCCTCCAGCTGAGGGCATGAGCAGTGCCCCTTTGCCTCAAATGAGACCCAAGCCAGAGATGGATCCTGGAGCCCAGGGCCCTGAGTCCGTACCCAATCCTGTTGTTTCAGAACCCATCAAAGGCCTCTCAAAGCTCGCGGGACACCCTGAGCTCAGGCGTACACTCCTGGAGCAGCCAGGCCGAGGCTCGAAGCTCCAGCTGGAACATGGTGCTGGCCCGGGGACGGCCCACCGACACCCCAAGCTATTTCAATGGTACAGTCCAATTCCCACCTGCTCAGCAGCCCCCATGGCAGCTGATCTGCCTGGAGCTAGACAGCCATTGAGGGATTGTGTCTCCCCTCCCCTGGCACAGTGGGAGGGAGGAAGGCGCCTGGTCCCAGAACTTGAGGTTCCTGGCCAGTAAGTTGGGTTTCGAGCAAAGGTCCCCATCACCCACGAGCCTCTCCTGATTGGGCAGTGAGGGACCATTATCCCCTCATTGGCGGCTGATGGAGTCCCAGAAGGTTCCCCTAGCTTGTGGAGGAGAGCAGTCTCTCTTGACCTGGAGTCAGGAAACTGAGCAATTAATCTCTTCTAAAGGGAAAGGAACAGGACCCATGAGCATTTTAATCAGAAACTCAGCAAAAGGAGCCCCCTCTGAGATCTGAGGTCAAATGAGAAAGACAACATAAAATTCCTTCGTTTTCAAGCTTGATTGCATAGGTTATGATGTGGCTTTGCTAGTACAAGGGCATCATCAGATCAGAGTGCCCTGCTCTCCAGGGCAAGTGTGACTCATGGCAGCAGGCCAGAGGCCACTTCAACTCGGGGAACAATCTAAATTGCTCATAATCTAATTTAAGGATCTTTGTGTTCAGTTCCTTTCTGCTTTGCATCCAAGTTGAAATACTACTTCCCCATAGGAGCCAACCCCAGCTCTTAGCAACGCACAGGCCAGATCCCAGGTGCTGGCAGCCAGGAAGAACTAGCAGGTGTATATAACACGAGGGCTGTTCCAGCCTGAATTTTTTATTTTTCTTATAAAATGCAACTTTGTGACTGGGTGTGGTGGCTCACACCTGTAATCCCAGCACTTAGGGAGGCCAAGGCGGGTGGATTACATGAGGTCAGGAATTTGAGAGCAGCCTGACCAACATGGTGTAACCCCATCTTTACTAAAAATATAAAAATTAGCTAGGTGTAGTGGCACATGCCTGTAATCCCAGCTACTCGAGAGGCTGAGGCAGGAGAATCACTTGAACCCGGGAGATAGAGGTTGCAGTGAGCTGAGATTGCTCCATTGCACTACAGCCAGGGCGACACCGTGAGACTCTGTCTCAAAAACAAACAGAAATGCAGCTGCGCTTAGACCAGCCCAAATTTTATATCTGCTGCTCCATCACACCAGGCCTGCTCCCCTCTACATTAAGGGCAGAGTGACTTTTAACAAAAACATTCCCTCAGCCCCTGCCAGGACCCTGGTCCTTGGAGAGCCAGCAGCCGCTCTCCTGACTGTCACCTTGCCCGCCTTCTAGGTGTGAAAGTCCAAATACAGTCTCTCAATGGTGAACACCTGCACATCCGGGAGTTCCACCGGGTCAAAGTGGGAGACATCGCCACTGGCATCAGCAGCCAGGTAAGGGGGGCAGGTACACTCTTGACCGGCAGAGTCCCAGAAGCCAGTGCACCTGGCCCCACCCTCCAGGAGGAAGGCTTTCAAAGTAGTAGAATGGCACTCTAGGGAACACGTGGAATTGGCCTTCGACGTCCCCCAGGGCCTCAAAGTAAGACTGGCAGTGGTGACAGAGAGGTCCTCCAGACCCACACTTGGGCTGGGTGGGATTCTCTGAGTCCTGTGGAATGACAAACAGACAGTGCCCTTAGGGCTGCCAGTCTGGCTGGAGGGAGATGTCTTTACCTTTCTACGTGGCTTCTGAGCCCCATGCCATGATCTCAGCCCACTGGTTTGCTCCACCCTTAGATCCCAGCCGCAGCCTTCAGCTTGGTGACCAAAGATGGGCAGCCTGTTCGCTATGACATGGAGGTGCCAGACTCGGGCATCGACCTGCAGTGCACGCTGGCCCCTGATGGCAGCTTCGCCTGGAGCTGGAGGGTCAAGCATGGCCAGCTGGAGAACAGGCCCTAACCCCACCCTCCACTGCCGGCTCCACGCTGCCGGAAGCAGCCTTCCTGCTCGGTGCACAGTGCTGCCCTGAAACACAGGCTCAGCCGCTCCCAGGGATCTGCCAGCCCCCGGCTCAGCAGTGGGACCAGGGCCTGGCAGCAGCAAGGTGGGGGCAAGCAGAACGCCTCCCAGGATTTCCCACCTGAGTCCTGCCCCACCCCGCTGAGAAAACACTCTGCCACGTGAGGAGACAGAGGAGGACGGCAGGAGTTCCCTCGGGAAACAAACAGGATCTTCTCTGCCCTGCTGCAGTCGAGTTGGCCTGGCCCGCTTGGATCAGTGACCATTTGCTGGCAGACAGGGGAGAGCAGCTTCCAGGCTGGGTCAGAAGGGATGGGCGAGCCCCTCGGCCCCTCACCCTCCAGGCTGGTGTGAGGGTGTCGAGTGTGTAAGGGCCCACACTCAGGTTCAGTGCAGAACCAGGTCAGCAGGTATGCCCGCCCGTAGGTTAATGGGAGGCCTCTGACCCCCTTGCCCGGCCTCACCTGGCCAGCTCATCCCTTTCGGGTGTAGGGGAAAGGAATGCCTGATCCCAGAAGGCTCCCTGGTAGAATACACCACACTTTTCAGCTTGTTGTAACACAGGTCCTGAGTTGACTTCTGGTTCAGCCAACGACCAAAGAAGGTGTGTAAGTGAAGTGGTTCTCAGTCCCCAGACACGTGCCCCTTTGCTGCTGGCTATCACTCTTCCCCAGCGCAGCAGACCCTGAGCCCCTTCAGGCCCAGCACTGCCCCAGACTCACTGGCGCTCTTCCCTCATCTGTAAAGGTGAAGGGTGATGCAGGATGTGCCTGACAGGAACGGTCTGTAGATGGACATGATCAATACTAAGGAAAGCAGCAAACAGAGACGCTCCGGCACCCCAGCCCCACTGTCAGTGTCCAGCGTGCGGGCCCCCCAGAGCACAGCTCACACGAACACTCACCCTGCCCTGCCCCGGGCCGGAGGGTACTGCTGACGGCACTTTGCACTCTGATGACCTCAAAGCACTTTCATGGCTGCCCTCTGGCAGGGCAGGTCAGTGACTCTGTAGGAGCATAGCAGGCCAGGAGATGGGGTGAAGGGACAGTCTTGAGCTCTCTACATGCATGTGACTCAAACCTCTTCCAGATTTCTCTAATAGCACCCACTTCCCCATTGCCCCAGCTTAGCCTCTTCTCCCAGGGGAGCTACTCAGGACTCATGTAGCATTAAGTCAGCTGTGAATTGTCAGGGGGGTGTCAGCTAGCCTCAACCTCCTGGGGCGGGGGACGCCGAGACTCCTTGGGAGAAGCTCATCCCCGCGTCTTGCCAAGACAGCCTTTGTCCAGCTGTCCACAGCGAGCCAGACTGCTCCCGGGGAGACAGCCCCGGCCCCCAGCACATAAAGAACTGCAGCGTTGGTACTGCAGTGTGGGTTGTAGAGAACTCTTTGTAAGCAATAAAGTTTGGGGTGATGACAAATGTTTGCAGGCCCTTGGTGCCCTCTCTCTTGCCTGCCGGCTTGCTGAACCTCACGACACTAACAACTGCCTCTCTGCCTTCTTGGTGAGATCTTTTCAAGTCCCCTTTGTTTTGGACAAGGACTGTTTCAGCGCTTGAGTGGGGCTGCTTTCCCACCACTCCTCCCAGTGGCTGCTTCTAGTCCCACCTCTGGGCTATTCATTCAGACCAGTTAGGCAAGATGCCTTGCCCAGTGGCATCAGGGAAGTCCCTCGCCAAACACTGCCAGGCTGAAGGGTGGAGGAGGCGGACGACAAAGCCTGCATGCTTTGTGCCACTGCCCAAGTCAGGCAGCCCTCTACCACCAGAAGGGAAATAAGGATGGGTTCTGGGCCCTGACCAGCTAGGGATGCTGGATGCACACCACAGGCCCTCCACCTTCCCCTCCTGTCCTTGAGGCCTGGACTGAACCCTTTCTGCTGCCTCCTGAGCCCTGCATGGGGCCAGGGATGCCCTTGTGGCTGAGTTCCTTGGTCATGGAGCTGGGGCACACGTGATGCCTTATCGAATCTGGCTTCACACTCCCTGTGTGCACAAGTGTGTGTGCGCGCAGCTTGGGTTGGTTTAGCCGGTTCTTGGAAGGGCCCTGGGACCACGAAAGGGGCGGCAGCCCTGAGCCCCTGGCGTGCAGAGCGGGTGCAAGTCCGGTCCAGTAGAGTCAAACTTACCTGCCGCCTGCCTCTTGCTCTGGGCCCGCAGCGGAAGCGCGAGCCCTACTCCCGAGGTCTTTGGAGAGGGATTCTGGCTTCGGGCCCGCAGCCTTCGGAGGACACCTCACTCGGGCCGTCCCCCGCCTGCCCGCCCGCCCGCCCGCCCGGAACCTAAATGCGGCTCCCTGCCTGCGGGGTCGCGGCAGGGACGTCACAGAGGTGGCGACATCACAGGCACCAGCGCCTCCAATATTTCCAGCGCCCCCCAGTCTCCCAGCCAAAGAGCACACTGGAGGCTGAGAGGCAGCATCTACCAGCCCGCTCCCCGCCTCCAGGACAGAGCCTCGGTCTGCATGGGGGTGACAGGTGGGAGCGGGCGGGCGCCCGGGGGCGGGAGTTCGGGCGGGCGGGCGGGGAAAGCGACAGTAAGTGGGGGCGGGGCGCGGAGGGGGCGGTCAGGATCGGCCCGGGGCCCGTTCCCCTGCTCCCAAACCCCCGGCACCTGAAAGGCAGGTCGATCCCCCGCCAAAGCCCACCCGGTGCCCCTGACTATGGCTCCCAGCCTCAGCCCCTCCGTGGTGCACATCCGCGTGCGCGCACGGACACGCATGCGCGCCTTGTGGTAGGACTGCAGCGTCAGTGGTTCTTGAAGGGGTTCTGAGACCACAGAAGGAGCAATGGCCTTGTGCACAGGAAACGACTCATGAATTATCCTGAACTGCAGATCCAAAAAATCACATCCAGTTGTCCCTGCTTGATGCTTGAGGCTTTGCAGGGAGGAGCGGCAGTCTTGAGCAGATTTTCACTGAGCGCCTCCTTGGTGTCTTGTACTCTTCTCTGAACCAATGAGCAAAGATGTTTGCCCCTAGTGCCCCGGGTCTCCCCTTCCCATAGGAGCGTCAGATCCCCCACTGAAATGGTGGCTTTCTTTTGGGGATCCTCTCTCCCAGAAGGGCATGGGCCAGCATTAAAAATGATCAAAAATTAGGTGGGCATGATGGCTCAACGCCTGCAATCCCAACACTTTGGGAGGCAGAGGTGAGAGGATCACATAAGGCCAGGAGTTCAAGACCAGCCTAGGCAACATAGCGAGACTTTGTCCTCTACAGGAAATGTTTAAAATTAGACAGGTGTGGTGGCATGAGCCTGTAGTCCCAGCTACTTGGGAGGCTCACTGGAGCCCAGGAGTTGCAGTGAGCTATGATGGCGCCACTCCAGCCTGGGCCACAGAGCAAGACCCTGTCAAAAAAAAAAATTAACCAGAGGTTGGGGCAGTGGCTCACGCCTGTAAGGAAAAACGTAGATTGGACAGCCAGGTCTGTCATGGAGAGGATTACACTGATTATTTGAATTGGGCTTTCAGGCATGAGTAGGACTTTACCAGAAGAAGGCTTTCCAGGTATGAGAAATAGCATTTGCAAAGGCATTGGGTGCAGAAGAGCCTGCCGTACTCTGGGGGTAGCTTTGGCTTAGGGTGAGGAACAGGAAGATGGATGCCAAGAGATGAAAAATGAAGGTAGAGATCAGATCAAGAGGCCACATGGAGTTTGGGGGTGACCAGAGGCAAGTGAAATGTAGCAGGCTCACTCTGGGGTCATTGAAAATCCAGGTTGGAGGGGGACATGGTTGCAGTGGTCCCACTGGAGGACTAAAGAGATTTAAGACAGTGCAGTGAGTAGCATCCCAGAGTCTGGAGTCAGCCAGACCTGCCTTTGGGTCGTGTGCTGCTCTTAATAGCTGCGTGACCTCATACACGTTTCCTCATCTGTGAGAGGAGAGCTGTGGCCAACTGGGCATAGGGTAGGTATGAAGATTGAATGTGCAAAGCACTTAGCACCAAGTGCCGAAGGGTAGGAAGACGTGGGTTTGTGTTGGCTCTGGTACTGGGAGATGAGGAGAGCATCAGGGGTAGGAGGGCAGGAGCTTCGGAGTGAGGAGGAGTCACAAATGACCCAGGTTTCTCATTTGGGTGAAAGGATGAAGGATGAATGGGGCGAGGAGTGTGGGATATGGAGAGATGACAGACTAGAAAGGGAGACAGGAGTCAGACAGGCAGAGCTGTGGTGGCCACACTTAAGAGTCTGGACATACAGGGTGTGAATTTGAGGTAAGAAATTAGGCCAGGCACGGTGGCTCATGCCTGTAATCCCAACACTTTGGGAGGCCAAGGTGGGAAGATTGCTTGAGCTCAGGAGTTTGAGACCAGCCTGGGCAACATAGTGAGTCCTCATCTCTTTTTTTTGGTTTGTTGTTGTGTTGTTGTTGTTGTTGTTGTTGTTGTTGTTGTTGTTGTTGAGACAGAGTCTTGCTCTGTCGCCCAGGCTGGACTGCAATGGCACCATCTCGGCTCACTGCAACCTCCGCCTCCCGGGCTCAAGCCATCCTCCCTATCAAAACCTAACAAAGACATTATAAAGAAAAGAAAATTATACACCAATATCCCTCATGGATATGCATGTGAAAATGCTGAAAAAAAGCCAATCAGATTCAACAACATATTAAAAGGGTAATACGTCATGACCAAATGAGGTTTATCCCAGTAATGCAAGGCTGATTTAACATTTTAAAAAATCAATTTATAGCTGGGCACGGTGCCTCACACCAATAATCTAGCACTTTGGGAAGCCAACGCAGGTGGATAGCTTGAGCCCAGGAGTTCAAGACCAGCCTGGGCAATATAATAAGACCTATCTCTACAAAAAATACAAAAATTAGCTGGATATGTTGGTGAACACCTGTAGTCCCAGCTACTCCAGAGGTGAGGTGGGAGGATCACTTGAGACAGGGAGGTTGAGATTGCCATAACTGTGCCACTGAACTCCAGCCTGGGTAACAGAGTGAGACCCTGTCTCAAAAAAAATCGATGTGGCCCGGTGCGGTGGCTCAAGCCTGTAATCCCAGCACTTTGGGAGGCCGAGACAGGTGGATCACGAGGTCAGAAGATCGAGACCATCCTGGCTAACCTGGTGAAACCCTGTGTCTACTAAAAAAATACAAAAACTAGCCGGGTGAGGTGGCAGGCGCCTGTAGTCCCAGCTACTCGGGAGGCTAAGGCAGGAGAATGGCATAAACCTGGGAGGCGGAGCTTGCAGTGAGCCGAGATCCAGCCACTGCACTCCAGCCTGGGGGACAGAGCGAGACTCCGTCTCAAAAAAAAAAAAAATGTATTTTGCCATAAGCAGAATATAAAAATATAAAAGAATTATCACCCAAATAATATAACATTACTCATATTTAATGTATTATAATGTATGTTATGTATACATATATAATATTAAAGAAAAACCATATGATCATCTCAATAAATGCAGAAAAAGCATTAGGCAAAATTCTCAATAAATGCAGAAAAAGCATTAGGCAAAATCCAGCATCCATTCCTAATTAAAACTAAGCAAACTAGGAGAGAAAACTTCATGAAGATGCCCAAGCTAATAAAAGGCATCATGAATAAACCTACAGCTAGCATCATCCTTAATGGTGAAAGGCTAAACACTTTCCCCTAAGCTCAGAACGAAGGGAGGACGTACACACACACTCCTACTCAACATTGTATGGAGATTGTCCCCAGTGCAATTAGGCAAAAAAAGGAAATAAGAGGAACAAGATTGGAAAGGAAGAAGTAAAAGTGTCCTGACTCACACGCATTATTGTCTATGTAGAAAATCCGATAGAATCTAAAAGGAAAAAAAAAGCTATGAGAACACATGAGATTTTAGTATGGTTGCAGGATACAAAAGATGGATCTATTTCTGTGTGCTAGCAACAAACCACTGGAAATAGAAATTCTTTCGGCCAGGCACAGTGGCTCATGCCTGTAATCCCAGCACTTTAGGAGGCCGAGGCAGGCAGATCATTTGAGGCCAGGAGTTTGAGACCACCTGGCCAAAATGGTGAAACCCCATCTCTACTAAAAATACAAAGAGTGAGCCGGGGCCAGGCGCGGTGGCTCAAGCCTGTAATCCCAGCACTTTGGGAGGCCGAGACAGGCAGATCACGAGGTCAGGAGATCGAGACCATCTTGGCTAACACGGTGAAACCCCGTCTCCACTAAAAAATACAAGAAAACTAGCCGGGTGAGGTGGCGGGCGCCTGTAGTCCGAGCTACTCGGGAGGCTGAGGCAGGAGAATGGCGTAAACCCAGGAGGCGGAGCTTGCAGTGAGCTGAGATCCGGCCACTGCACTCCAGCCTGGGCAACAGAGCCAGACTCCATCTCAAAAAAAAAAAAAAAAAGGGCCGGGCGCGGTGGCTCACACCTGTAATCCTAGCACTTTGGGAGGCTGAGGCAGGCGGATCACAAGGTCAGGAGATCGAGACCATCCTGGCTAACACGATGAAACCCCATCTCTACTAAAAATACAAAAAAAATTAGCCGGGCGTGGTGGCGGGCGCCTGCAGCCCCAGCTACTCTGGAGGCTGAGGCGGGAGAATGGCGTGAACCCAGGAGGCGGAGCTTGCAGTGAACCAAGATCGCGCCACTGCACTTCGGCCTGGGGGTCAGAGCGAGACTCCCGTCTCAAAAAAAAAAAAAAAAAAAAAAAAAAAAATTTCAATTATTTCATATACTGCAGAATATTATTTGAATCCCTAATAGAACATTCTCAAGTCAGGCACAGAGATCTCAAGCTGAGTCAACATCTGACTTTTTCTTCCAGCCCCAGTGCTATTAAGAGGCTCACACAACAGTAATTTCTTCTCCTGTCCATACCCAGCTGCCATTTATGGAGGGGTTGAGGCTGTGGGTGTTGATTAAACTGCCCAGGGAAATTTTGTAAAGGGAGCAAAGGCCCTGAGGTCAGAAGCCTGGGGAACAGCAGGACCTGGGGCAGGGGGAGTTGGAGAGGGAGAAGAGAGACACGTGAGGAAGCCAGGGAAGCGTAGTGATCAAGGAGGTGGAGGATTGGGGGATACCTCCCCCAAGACCAGGCTAAAGCAGATGGTCCCAATCCCAGGACCAGCCATGCAAGGACCCCTCCCTCCAGCCGCTACATCTCTAGGAAGAGACTGCAGTACATTCTCATCCTTCCAGTCGCTTCCTGGGAGCGATTCTTCCCAGTCAGAGCCAGGGCTGTCACTTCCTGCCACACCCCAGGCTGATGGGGACCCACCTTGCATGATGGCAGGGTCGTCATGATGGCCCCACCATCAACCCCTACGCATGGTCCTGGGTAGCAGAGAACAGGGCAGCCTAGTGCTTCCCACCCCCACAGGGTGAAGAAACAGATTCTGCAGTAAAAGATACAAGCTTCCAGGGAAGGGTGTGGGGTTGGGGACGTTCCCAAGGAGTCAGTCTCCCCTGCAGAGGGGGATCTGAGCTCCTAAATCGTCAGCTAGGTGCTAGCACCACCTCAGATCACACACCCCGGGTGGAGGACTTGGCCTGGAGTCAGTGATGGATGATCCAGAGAGAGTAAAGGAAGCCAGCAGAAGAGCAGGAATGGGGAGATGGGGAAGGTTCGCGTGGGGCGTGATGGGGACTCCATGCAGTTACAGGCTCCTGGGAGTAGCCGGGGGCCAGGGAGTTAAGAGTTTCCTGAGTCAAAACTGCATTCAAGTCACCACTTCAGCTATGATCAGCTGGGGGGCCTTGGGCAAATGGACCTGTCCTAATTTTTTGTGTTGAATCAATGAGATAAAGCAGGTAAAGTGCCCAGGCTATGGAAGCGCCCCGTCATGGTCGGGGTACTGTTAGCAGTCACGGTTTTGGGGGAAGGAGATGGAACAGGGAGCCTCCGAGGAGGCAAGGCAGACAGTAGAGGGAGCAGGACTGGAGGATAGGAATGGCTATCGGCTAGGGAACAAGGAGGGCGGGGCAGGTGGGTGAGGGAATGCAGCTGGGAACAGAGAAAAAGAAGGGCAGGAGGAGGTGGCTGGCTCTGGAATCCCTCCGGGACTGTCTTCTACCCTGCAGCTCCCTGCCCTCACCTCCTTTCCCCTGCCAGGTACCCATGGATTTCCATGCTGCAGCAAAGGGTCAGTGGAGGTTGCAGAGATGCGGTGAGAACCATCCCCGAACATCACAGGCCTCCCCCGAGCCCTCCGGGACCTCCAGCCTCGCCCCTGACACCACCAATCCCCCAACCTAGGATCTCCCTCCCTTCTGCCATTTTCAAAACCTCCTCGGCGCCAGTGTCCAGGCCAAAAGACTGGGGAGGGTGTGGGGTATCTACCCTCCCACTTCTGTTTATGCCCTCAGCCCCTGGCAGAGGAAGACTGAGGGGTAGTGAGGCACACCCAGGGACAGAATAGGACCTGACCCCTCAGAGCTGCCTGGCTTGCTGAGGACAGAGCTGCTCAAGGCGGGGGTGGGCAGGCACTTGAAGAAAGAGTGGGCAGGTGGGTGGGAGGACATTGCTCTGGGGCTCCCCTGCTGGGGACTAGTGTTCTGGGCACTAATTCGCGAAGTGAGTTGTCCCAGCTCACCTGCAATGCTTGATAAAAATGAGATTCCTGGGCCTCACCTCCAACTAACTGGATTCCTCTTTTGTGGGGTGGGGGGGGCATGAGTTGGCAAGGAGTTTCCTAAACTCACTAAAGTTTCAGAATACAACTCCAGACTTCCTGGTGGCAGTAGAGTGGGACAGCCAGGGGAGTGGGACAGCCAGGGGAGTGGGACAGCCAGGGGAGTGGATGAGCTGGTGGCAGGGTGGTCGGGGGGAGGTGCATCTTGCCAGCCTCTGTTACAAGGCAGAGGGCTTTGAGGGCCCCAGAAACCCCCTTCCCGCTGAAGCCACCACCCACCCCACAGATCCCCATCACCCACTCTGTCTCTTTCTGTCTTAGAGATGACTTAAGTCAACACCAGATACAAGAGGAACAGGAGGTAAAAAGGGGATGTCCTCTTATGGGGAGGTGGTAGGCAAGTGGCAGGGCTCTTCCCTAAGTCTCCATCAGCCCCTACCCTTGACAATCCTGGGACCTTAGTACCAGGCCAGTGTGGGTACACTCACACACACACCCCCTCACCAGGCAGGTCTCTGAGAGGAGGCAGGCATGGGGTTGGGGGGCGGGGGGAAGAGAGCAGGACCTGGGGCAGGGGTGGGGCAGGGACTCGGTGCCAGGGAGGGCCTCAGGGGCAGGACCTCCCGCTCCTGCCTCCTCAGCTTTGAGTTGAAACATTTCAGCTGGAGGCAGACATGCTAGAGCAGAAGCCCCAGCTCAAAGTGGACCTGGCCCCAGACCCAGACCCAGAACTGGAGATCGGACAGGTGCCGGCTTTACTGGAGTCAGAGCTGTACCCAGCCCTCAAGCTTGAAACTGAGCTGGACACAAAAGCCAGCTGGAACGAGGAGTCTGACCTCGAAGAGCCCCTGCAGCTGGTGTGCCAGATAGAGTCCGTCCACTCCAACATGGCGCCGCCCACACCGCAGACCTTCAGACCATGGAGTCTGAATTCAAACTACAGGAGTTTCACGGAGGAGAACCATGTGTCCACCTGCCGTCACTCCATCAGTGCACAGACCTCCAAGCACCTCTTCTGGGCAAACAAGCTCATCCAGGCCTCAGAGCACAGCCTGCAGCGAGCCATCAACATGCAGCTCAACAATGGCAGTGCAGGCCAGCCCATCAGTTCCCGGCTCCGGGAGGCCATCCCCACTGACGCCCTGTGCTCCAAGGAGCAGCTCCAGAGCCCCGATGCCCGCCCAGCTCCTCCGGCCACAAGCTTCCAGGAGCCAAGCCCCCTCCTGTCCTCAGATCTCCCGCCACCCATTGGCCTGGCAGAGCTAATCACCTTTGCATCTTCCCTGGCCATGGCCTCCTCCAGCAGGATGGACATGCCCAGTTTGGAACACATGATGAAAGCTCCACCTCAGGAGGCTCTGGAGCCTTCCACAGAGCCCCTCCTGATCACTGCGGAGGAGCAAAAGCCAGAAAAGCACGCAGAGGCCCTACCAGAGAAACCACATGAAGCCAGGGCACCACTGAAATCTTGGAGTCAGGAAGACAAGAACTTCACTCAATCTTACTTTGACTTCAGCAAGCCAGGGATCAAGAGGGCCACCATCGAAGGGCAAATGCAGCTTCTCCAGCCACCAGCCACGTCCCCTGTGCTGCAGGGAGGCAAGGAAGAGTGAGTGAGGCCAGCCCCACAGCTCCCATAGAGGGGCTGTGCTAGAACACAGGGGGGTCCTCACACAGCCGGCTAGGGGTGGGGAACACTGGAATGAGGACCTGGGAGCAGGATGCGGTGGGCTGTGACGCCTCCACCTCAGTGACCTCATAAAGGCTGTTGGAACAAAGTTCCAGTGGACTGAGGTGCAGAGCCAAGGCAAGGGCTGGAGGAAGCCTGGGGACCAAGGAGGGTGGGCACAGGGGCCTGGGTTCAAACTGGGAAGGACCACGCCGGCATTAGGTGGCTTCCCACCCTGGGGGTTGGGCCTCACCAAGGTCGGAAATGCTCAGGCTGGGATCTGCCCTGTTGAGAACAGGTTGGCCCCAACCCTGAAGTCCAGGACACTTTTCTTGAGGGGAGAATGAGGATGCAGAGCACTGCAGTACACCTTGCTTTCTGGTGGTGAATGGATACACAATGTAACCTTAGCTGCCCAGACACAGGCAGCAGCAGAAGACCCCTTACCCCCAGTGACCTCTTCAGAGGGGCCTCTGGGCTCAACCCTCTCCTTCGACCACCCTCTGGGGCCCAAGTGACACTCTCTCTTTTGTGTTGCAGCTCAGTGCCGCCAGGAAAAGAGAAACAGAATCCATTATTGGTGAAAATCCATTTTAAGCTGTCAGCCCCCACAACCCCAGAGAAATGACTAGACAGAACCAATAAAGCCTCCAGTGCTGGCCGTCGGCTCAGAATTTTGTGCAAATGCCCCTGGGCCAGGGAGCTCACCTGGCTGCTGTGTCCTGGTCTGCCACCCCATTTTTTAGCTGCCCCAGCTCCACCTGCCCCCAGAGGGCAACGCCACCCTTGTCCTGGCCACCCATCTCTTACCTGTCCACTCCCCAGGGTCAGTTCCCTTCACTCCCTCCTGGCCAGCCCTCTAGGCCAGCAGAAAGACTTGTGGCTGGTCTTGGGGAGGCCTCGGTGTCCTTTGAGGCTTCCATTTCTTAGACTGTGAAATGAGGCTTCCTCTTGGCCTGAGGCCAGGGAAGTGTTGGGATCATCTGAGGAGATGGCCTCCTGGGCATGGACTGGGCAGGTGAGAAAGTGGGTCTGAGGGGGATCTTCCTGCACTCTTCATGGGAAGGCCTGGCATGGGGAAGGGATGGTGTCCAGGAGTTTGAAGGGGAGGAAAATGAGGCCGAAGGACTGGTCCTTCACAGGTAACAGGCCGGAGCTAGAAGTACCTTCAAAGGCAGGAGAGAGCCATACATCACCCAGACATGTGCACACAGACATAACCAGCTGCCCAGCACATCACACATACAGCACCCACACACAGAGGAAGCAGCATACGACACCCATGCCCATGTACACATGTGCCTGACAGTCACATGTACCAAATATGCACACAAGGCCGGGCGTGGTGTCTCATGCCTGTAATTCCAGCACTTTGGGAGGCAGAAGCCAGCAGATCACTTGAGGTCAGGAGTGCGAGACCAGTCTGGCTAACACGGTGAAACTCCATCTCTGCTAAAAATACAAAAATTATTTTTTTGGGGCGTGGTGACATGTGCCTGTAGTCCCAGCTACTGGGGAGGCTGAGGCAGGAGGATCTCTTGAGTCCGGGAGGCAGAGGTTGCAGTGAGCTGAGATTGCACCAGTGCACTCCAGCCTGCGCAACAGAGCGAGACTCCATCTCAAAGAAGAAGAAAAAAAAAATGCACACAAATGCACACACCTCCCATCCAGGGTTTGGCCTTGGAGGCCGAGAGGGCAGGCAGTATAGACTGACTCCTGGCAGAGGAGAGATGGCAGCAAAGGAAGGAAGGGGATTCGGAGTGCATGGATGGGCAGGGATGTGGACAGGGAAACCTGGGGGAAGGAGAAGGGGAGGCTGCACCATGGCCCGGCCTCAGGTTCCCTGCTAAGTGAAAGCCCAGCCTTGTGGATCTTCAAGAGCCTGCCCAGCTTTCGGAGGGTCCAAGGAGAGAGATGCCTAGGGCCTGGAGGGTGTGATTAGGAAGGGGTGAGCAGTTCAGAATGGGTCAGGGCCAGGAGGAGAAGCGGGCGGGAGACTGGAAGGAGGGACAAGGAGTAGCTGCAGAGGTGGGTGTCTTGGGGGCGGTGGGGGACTGAGCCAGAATCACTGGGCTCTCAGGACTAATCTTTCCATAGGTTTTTTTAAATTAAAAGACTTTATTTTTTAGAGCAGTTTTAGGTTTGCAGCAAAACTGAGTGGAAAGTACAGAGAGTTCCCATGTACCCCTGTCCCCACCCACATACAACCTCCCTGGTTCTGGACATCCTGCAGTGGTACATTTGTTACAACTGATAAACCTACACTGACTCATCATCATCACCAAAAGTCCACAGTTCACATTGGGGTTCACTATTGGTGTTCTACATTCTATGGGGGTTTGTTGTTTTTGAGACAGAGTCGTGCCCTGTCACCCAGGCTGGAGTGCAACGGTGTGATCTCAGCTCACTGCAACCTCTGTTCACCTCCTGGGTTTAAGCGATTCTCCTGCCTCAGCCTCCCAAGTAGCTGGGACTACAGGCACCCGCCACCATGCCCATCTAATTTTTGTATTTTTGTAGAGACAGGGTTTCACCATGTTGGCCAGGCTGGTCTTGAACTCCTGACTCTAGGTGATCCACCCACCTCAGCCTCCCAAAGTGCTGGGATTACAGATGTGAGCCACCGCGCCTGGCCCTTTCTATGGGTTTTGATTGTAGTGTGATACAGGGTCATTTCATTGCCCTAAAAGTTCTGTGCTCTACCTGGCCCCTTCAACTCCTGTCAACAACTGGTCCTTTTACTATTGCCACAGTTTTGCCTTTTCCAGAATGATTTGGAATCAAACGGTATGCAGTTTGTTTGGGTTGGCTTCTTTCACCTGGTAATACACGTTTAAGGTTCCTCCATGTCTTTTCCTGGCTTGATAGCTCATTTATTTTTAGTGGTGAATACTATTCCATTGTCTGGGTGTATGACTGTTTATCCATTCACCTACTGAAGGACATCTGGGTTGTTGCCAGGTTTCGGCAATTATGAATACAGCTGCCATAAACATCTATGTGCAGGTTTTTGTGTGGATATGAGTTTTCAAAACATTTGGATAAATACCAAGGAGCACAATTGCTGGATCATGTGATAAGGGTGTGTTTCATTTTGTAAGAAACTGCCAAACTTGTCTTCCAGATTGGCTGCACCATTTTGCATTCCCACCAGCAATTAATCAGTTCCTATTGTTCCACATCCTCACCAGCATTTGGTGGTGGTAGTGTTTTGGATTTTGGTATCTGAATAGGTGCATAATAGTATCTCATTGTTTTAATTTGCAATTTGCTAATAACATATGATGTTGAACATTTTTTCATATGCTTACTTTCATTTGTATGTATTCTTTGGCAAGGTGCCTGTTTAGATTTTTTTTTTTTTTTTTGGACAAGGCCTCATTCTGTCACCCAGGCAGAGTGCAGTGGCTCGATCATGGCTAATTGCAGCCTTGAACTCCTGGGCTCAAGTGATCCTCCCATCTCAGGTTCCCAAAAAGCTGGGATTAAAGGTGTGCACCACCATGCCTGGCTAAGCTTTTTATTTTTTGTAGAGATGGGATCTTGCTGTGTTGCCCAGGCTGATCTCAAACTCCTGGCCTCAAGTGATCCTCCCACCTCAGCTTCCCAAAGTGCTGGGATTCAAGATGTAAGCCACCACACTTGGCTTTTGCCCTTTTTTTTTTTTTTTTTAATCAGGCTGTTCATTTTCTTACTGTTGAGGGGTTTTGTTTTTTTGGTTTTTGAGACAAGTTCTCTCTCCATCACCCAGGCTGGAGTACAATGGTGCCATCACAGCTCACTGCAGCCTTGAACTTCTAGGCTCAAGCAATCCTCCCTCCTCGGCCATTCAAAGTGCCGGGATTCCAGTCCTGAGCACCATGCCTGGCCTCACTGTTGAGTTTTAGGAGTAATTTGCAGAGGGCAGAAGACCAAGAGATCGAGTCATCACTGAGAACAAACAGGTGACCAGGTCTGGAGGAGGGTCCTTTTCCCTCACCCGGGGTGGGGGGAATCACTGCCCTAGCCCTTTCCCCAGAATCCCCTGCATAGAGGGCTGTGGTACAGTTTCATGTGGAGGATCCTGGGAGGAGGTGGAACCGTATACCCACAGGCCTGGTCCCAGGTCTGAGTACCTACTCAGGAGTCTGAGTACCTGAGTGGGCTGGACCCCTCTGCCTCTCTCCTTCCTGCCTCTAAGGCCTCCACAGCAGCCTCAAAGGCTGCTCATATGAGATCCAGCAGAGGAGCAGGCAGGCAGGATGCAGAAAGGGAGGCTGCAGCTGCACACTGCCCAGCTGACTCAGACGGAGCTAGCAGTAGCCATGGCCACAAAGGCTGAACACACCATGAGGAGGGCAACAGAAATCCAGGGCCTTGTGGCTGCCCATCCAGCAGAGTCAGGTCCAGATGCTGGGTCTGAGAGGTGAAGGCAGGGACCAGGGGCCAGGCCTTGGGGGCTGGGTTTGGGGTAAGGCCTGGCTGGCCCTGGCATTTCTATGCAACAGGTGCAAAGACCTTTCCAACCTCTTCCTTTCTCCTGGGGCAGCTTGACAGGCGAGACACCCCAGCAGTTGGCAGGTGAGGGCCCCAGGACTGGGAGTAAGGAAGAAAATTAGGGGGTGCTCAGGGAAGAACTACAAGGGATTGCCTGCCCTGAAGCTGGGGTCACTGCAAGAAGTCAGTGTTTGCAACCATTCCTCCATGCTTGTCTGATTTGTTCATTTCTACAACCCTAGAGCTCAGAGTGTGTGTGTCTGTGTGTGTGTGTGTGTGTGCATGTGTGTGTGAAGGAGGGAGGAAAGGAAAAGAAAACTCAATGGATTGGTATATAGGTGAATGCAGGTATTTAGATGGATGGATAGATAGATGATGAACAGGATGGAAAAGAAGGGAGAAGGTAAAGGAGGAGAAAAAATGAGGGGAAAAATCTGAGTTCCCCTGCCTCATGGGGTCTAAGACCATAAGGGTAAAGGCAAAAGAAACCACAGCCCCATGCTCCCCCAAACAACATGTCCTGATATTGGCAAGGGCCCCTCAAAGCAGAATCACTTTATTCATCATCAACAATGTTCAGTGCCCATGACATTCCAGGCACCAGCAGGGCTCCAAGGCACTGTAGCTTCAGAGCCAGACTGCCAGATGTGACCTTGGACATGAATTTTGAATGTTTTTCAAATACGAGTTTTGGACATAAGGACTGGATGGGCACATAACATGTACCAATACACAACAGCCACTGCTACTCTTTATATTAAAAGTTACAGGCCAGGTGTGGAGGTTGATGTCTGTAATCCCAACAGTTTGGGAGGCCAAGGCGGGAGGGTTACTTGAGCCCAGGACTTCGAGACCAGCCTGAGCAACACGGTGAAACCCCATCTCTACAACAAATTAAACAATTAGCCAGGTGTGGTGGCACGTACCTGTGATGCCACCTACTCAGGAGGCTGAGGTGAGAGGATCGTTTCAGCCTTGGGAGGTTGAGGTTGCAGTGAGCCAAGATCTCACCACTGCACTCCAGCCTGGGCAAAGAGTGAGACTCTGTCTCAAAAATAAATAAATAAATAAAAATTTAAAACACCCAGGAGGGAGTTAGAATGAGCCAAGTCGTCAGTTCCACCTGAGTTAGAGTGGGCAGCTCTCAGGGTTCCTGTGTGAGTGGTTCATCTTGCCACCCGTCCCCCTCTACCCTCAGCCTTCCAGGATATCTTCAAACTCTTCAGCTCCAGCCCAATGGGTACCGTGGACATGCACAGCATGAAAGGCGCCCTAGGCAATGTGGGTATCCAGCTGAGTCCACAGGAGACGTTCGAGGCTCTGCGGCAGGCGGACTTGGATGGTGGGTGCTCCATCCCTGTCCTCTTGTCCCCTCCCACCTCCAGGCATTCTTCTAAAGAATACCTCCCCTTCCCACAAAATCCTAGCCTGGTCCTATTTTAAAGTTCCCTCTTACAGGAAGCCTGCCCTGACCAACACACCTATCTCATGGCCTGTAAACGTTGCTACTGTGTTAATCCTAATCCTGATTTGGGAACCCCCAAGGCACGGGTCATTTCTCCCCCATTCAAACTAGGGTCTGCCCTTGGCTAGAGGCAGGACTAGATTCTCTAACACCTGGAACTGCCAGCAGGCATCTGTAAGGCAGGCCTTCTGCAGGGGCAGGCACCCACAGCGCCCCCTCTCCTCTCTCCCCAGGTGTTGGAACCGTAAGCTTCAGTGACTTCCTGGGTGTCTTCAATGACAACCACCGCTCGGCTCAGTGCATGGGTGAGGGGCAAGGCTGGTGGAGGAGGGGTGGGCCTGGCCTAGGGGGAGCCCCCTCCTCACGCTCCTTCACCTTTTTTGTCCCCAAGCCGGGGGACAAACAGCCAGGTCTGTGACCCCCAGGGACTGCAGACCCTGTTCTTGGAAATGCTGTTCAAGCTGCTGGGCCGGGGCTTTGTGCCCTCCAAGTTGGCACAGGAGGTGATGAGGTGGGCACAACCATACCAGCTCCACGGGACCCCTGATGTTCCTGCCCTAGAGACGGGAGCCTTGAATTCTGGGTCTGTTTCCTGGGCCCCAAGTCGCCCCAGGACAAAGCAGTGGCTCCCGGCCCTGCTTTGGCTTCCGCACCTGTGAGACAGAGAGGTCTGGGGCTGGGGGTGTCTGAGGCGGCCTCCCCGCCTCTCTTCTCCAAGCTACTACTTCAAGAAGCAGTGGGCTCTGGGGCTCAGCCCAGGCTGCGGGGGTTGGGGGGCGCTCCACGCGGGCCTCACCTTCTGCCACGCGGCGCGCATCAGCGGCCTCTCCAACTAGGAGCTGGCGCGCTCGCTGCACAGACTGCACGAAGTAGGTGAGTCCCCGACGGGGCGGGGTGCGCGGGTACCCGCACTCCCAGCCACTCACAACCCCCGCCCTCGCCTCCTACCCCCAGGACCCGCTCTGAGAATCGTCTCCTCCTCTACCTCCTCCCGGGCACCCACCCTAGGTGCGCGCAACCCCTAGTCTCAGATTCCTAACCTGGAGGGGTCGGCGCTCCCAGAACGCAGGACACGAAGCCCAGCCGCGGGCCCCGGCTTCCGCCTGAGCCAGCCCTACTAGCCCGGCGGCCCCAAGTTCCCGCCCAACCCGGGGCGTGGCTCGGCCTAGGTGAGAGCCGGCGGGCGGGGGAGGGATACGCAGTGAGGGGCGGGACAGGTGCGCGGAGGCGGGACAGACAGATGGGGCAATACCGGCTGGCGGAGGGGAGAGGCAGGCGAGGAGCGTGGGCAGGCCCGGAAGAAATGGGGCCCCAGCAGGGGGAGACGGAGGCGGCACACGCGGAGATGTAAGGCGAGGTCACTCATGGCGTCACTACGCACTGGGGAAGGCGAAAGGAAAAGGGACCAGATGCCCAGGTAGGCGGCAGGACTGGCGCAAATGGGGCGGGGCAGCCGGAAGGAGAACTGCTGCGGGGCTGGCCGGGCGGGTCTGACCCCAGCTGCCCGCTCGCCCTTGCGCTGGCCCCCTCCGGCCTTCCGCAGGGATCCCGGGCCAGCAACGAGAGCCTCGTCCCCTCAAACCGGGCTCCTTCGCCGTCAACTCTAGTAAAGAAGCAGCCTTTCTCCCAGGCGCCCTTTAGTTTGCAGAGGCCTGCTATGAAAAGCTTGTACAAGTAAGCGTTTGCTGAGCGAAACAGGCTGCGGCGAGCACTGAGCCAACGCGTATCTTTTGCAAACATCTTTATTAATCTCGTATAAAAATAAGGTCCATGGACGGTCCTCGGGGCTGGGGCTTGCGGGGGCGAGGTGCACTTTATAAGTTACAGGCCAGGCTCCTGCTGAGGCGAAGTATGGCTATTTGGAGGGGGCTTTGGGGTGGGTGCTGCAAGCAGCATTTGCCCTCTGTGGCAAGAAGAGGATGCACCAGCCCGTTTGAGGCGGGCCACAGCGGAGGAGGGGCTGCCCGGCCAGCCGAGCTGAGGACCACCTTCCTTGAGCCTCAGCCTGTCCACGGCCCCACACCCTTGCAGAATCCACCTGCAGAAATAGCGGCTACAGCGAGAGGTCGGACGTGACCTGCAGTGGGGGGCCTGGGGGACGCCGGCGGGCACTGCGGCGGCCTGTGTCTGCGCGGATGTAGGGCTGGTTCCGCAGATCTGGCAGCCGAAAGAGACACATTTACCCTTCAGGAGTCTGCCCACAGCTGGGAGCATGGCTCCAGGGCACAACCATAGCCTCCTAAGGACTCAGATTGTGTGCACACGGCAGGGGTACTGTTTATGTATGCCAGACCCGCCCCCGCCCCCAACGCCAAATCACATCCCAGCCATCCACTGGCCCAGGAGAAGGCAGCATGCCTCAGTTCCCCCAAGGGTCCCGGGGGTTGTGGGCAGTGTGGGATCGGAGGCCAGGTCATCTGGGTACCTGAGGGGCTAGAGGGGCATCTCTTCTCCCAGGCTGGCCTCACAGAGGAGCCGGGATGTCCGCTTGCCGGTACGGGCCGTGAAGGGCACCGTCTTGATCACTGAGTGGGGGTGGGGCGGGTGAAGGAGAGTAGAGAAAGGAAAAAGGAAAGAAAAACAGAAAAGGTAGCAAGAAGCAGTGCGGCAGCCAGTCCCCCAGAGGGTAGGGGACTGGGTCAGAAGACAGCGTAGAAGGATAGACTGAGAATAAGACCAAGGCCTGGCCAAGCCCTTACCTGTGATGATGTCTTCAATGGCCCCGTCACGGTCGCTCTCATAAATGAGTGGCTCCTTCTGCTGCTTCCGTTTCAGCTCAGAGATTAGGTCCATCTGTGCCCGCCGGGCCTTTGGCGGTGACTAGGGGGAATTTATAGCTCCAGCTCCAGGAGGCCTCCCCACCACCAAAACCCTGGAATATCTGCCTGGTCCCCCACAGCAAGGACAGCTGGCTTGAGCAGAAAGAACACTTTCGCATCCCAGGCTCCTGGGGCAGGGTCCGTCCGTAACAGTGAGGGTGTGGGGGTGACACCAGAGGGTGATGAGATGCCATGCATCCCTGCAGCCCAGTACCAAGCCCAGGAGCAGCGGCCTACCTTGTGTGCTGGGGGCTCCCCTTTGCCCAGCGTATCAACGCCTGCCTCCTGGGCAGCGGCTTCTTTTTTCCACTGTTCCACCTCCTGCTCAGCTTTCTGTGGGCCAAGGCAGTCTCCATGAGGGTGGCCCTCCCTACTGCCCTACCCACCCCCTAAACAGAAGCAGTCCCACCCTTCCGCTGCCCAGTGGAAAGGCTTCAGTGCCCTACAGGGTTCCCAGCCTGCCCCAGTCCCGAATACCTTGTAGGCCTTAACGAAGCGGCTAAAGAGGGAGAAGAACAGGCCTGGGGATGTAGTCTTGGGGTTCTCTCCGAAGTATTCCACCACGGACTCAAAGGCCTCCTGCGGGCACAGCCTGTCAGCCCCCCAGCTTAGACCTCTCACAGCCTGTGCCCCCCAGGACACTGGCCACCTGATCTCAGCTTCTCCCAGGCAGGGTGGCCCCTCGTTCCTGCTGCATCCCCCCAAGGGGTCCCAGCTACAGCCACACCCCTCCAGGCTGGGCTACCTAGTGCTCCTACATCCCCCACCTCCAGGTGAGGCCAGCCCTGGCACACCTGAGCCGTCTTGCTGTCTGCCAGCAGCTTGTCCATGGTGGGCGAGTTGGCCCTCAGGAACTCCTTGAGCACCACGCAGTCATCCTGCCGCACAAACTCCCTCTGTGTCAACTCTAGGCCTCGCTGCAGGGAGCGCACGTCTGCCAGGACACTGTCCAGGGACACTGGGCCAGGGATGGGGCAGTATCAGGTCAGTGAATCGGAGAGGCAGTCCTCCCACCAATTATATCCTGTGGCCACCTAGCTTTCTCCCAACCTACCCCAGCCCACGGCCCCTCCCCGCACCCAAGGACTTATATACCCCCTACCTGAGCCTGCCTTGTCCAGGAAGTGCAGGTCGCTGTGGAAGCCTGTGAGTTGCGGGTACTTCTCTGCAATGACCTTCACCAGATAGTGCAGCAGCGTCTGCTTGCGGTCAGTCGACTTCATCTCCAACAGCTGCACAAGGACCTGTTGTAAGCCACAGGCCACCAGCCAGTCCCCAGCCCCAGCCCCCAAGCCAGGGTCCCCTCCTCACCGCATCCAGGCTCTGGAGCCTGAAGCCATAAGCTGCCCCACGCTTGCTACTGTTCATGTAGTTGCCGAAGGCCAGGACAATCTGGGAGAGGCAGGGGAAAGGCTCAGCAGAATGCCAGGGCTGAGGACACTGCTTAAATATATTGCACAAGGAGGAGAAGAGGTGGCAAGGAGCAGGCCCCACGCACTCAGCCCCTACTGTACAGGGCCCTCAGATTCACAGCACATGTACGTGTGTACACACAGGTCTCACACATGTGCAGAGTTAACACCATGGGCACACCCAATTTTGTCCTCTGCTAGTCCAACCCAAAACTTGTTGCCAGCATCCCCTCCTAGGCTGTGTGGTCACTGCCTTTCCACCAGCCATTTCTACTGGTTCCTGGGCCCTCCACTGAGCAGGTGACATTGCTCACAGAGCAACGCTAAAGGGGACTGAGCCCTCCGGCAGGGTCCCAGGTGAGCTGCTACAGACACGGCTGCTGTACCCCTTCCCATTCACCACCCCCCTTAGATCTGTCCTTCTCAGCATGTACATGAGAAGTGGGAATGTTATCTTTGTTGCATTGCAGGTGGGCAGGGCCTGGGTCTCCCTCTCACACTATCCAGAACAGGCAAGGGTGGGCCCCACCTCCTGGCCCCTCACCTCCAGGATCTGGCGGAGTTTGTCAGAGGACTTGATGGACATTGAGGCTGCAATGATGGCATTCAGTTGCTAGGGGTAGGATAGGGGAGGGAAGGTAAGTTGGGGCCTCCTCCATCTGGAGGCTCAAGTACTCCCAGATTCCCTGCTGCAGCCCAGGCTGGGAGGTGCCTTCTGCCCATCCCCATCCCCACCCAAGCCACACCGCCCTGCCCGCTCCGCCCACACCGGCATGAGCAGCTGGGCTGTGTCTGGGAAGTTGCCCAGGAAGGTGAGTGTGGTCATGCGCTCCGGCAGGCGCGGGATGCGGCTGAAGTGTAGCATGAAGCGGTCCTCTTCTGACAGCTCCTCCATCGGCCGCTGCTCCCGCTCAAAGCGGGCGATGAGGCTGCGCTCATACTCTGTAGGCAGGAAGCGCATCAGCAGCTCCAGGAAGTCCAGGCCCAGAGCCTGCAGGTCGTACCTGTGGGAGGGAGGAGAGGGGAGAGTGGGCATCATCCATACCCACCAGTCCCTGGGAGCAGGGCTACCCCTGCCTTGATTGAATAAATGAATTTCAGTATTTTCTATTTGCCAACAGCTTCAGAGAGCAAGAAATAGGAATCCAGAGAAACTGGGAACCTCAGAGCCGGGGTCCCCATCATACATCAGTGGAAGATGCCCAGCTGTAAATCCCATAGCCTGGGTGCTCACAGCTAGGCAAAGAGGCAGGGAGGAAGTGGGACATCCTAATTTAGGCATGGACTCAGTTTTCTCCACCTTAAAATGGGGACAAGGTTCCTGGACCAGGTTGGTATGAAGCTTGATGAAAGAGTTCACCATTGAGGCTCTTTTACTAGGATCTGCCTGACAACCCCAGCCTAGCAGAGGGGCCAGACTGCCCACAAGTCCGGGGCAGGGACACTCACGCCTCAATGGCTTGGCAGATGCGCTCAGCCCCCAGGTTGCCCTTCCGCAGGGTGATGGCCAAGTTCTTGGCCCGGTTGGCCTCAATGAGTGTTGCCTTGCTGGGGGCCTTCTGGGCTGCCTTACTCTTGAGAGTGCTGAGGTCCAGGCTGGGGCCTTGGGACTTGGTCTTGAACTGTTCCTCAAAGTCACTCATGTCCAGCTCCTGAGGGTACAGGGTGAGGAGGTGGGGCTGGGTGGGGCGGGGTCTGGCACTCTCCTGGCTGAGCACAGTGCTAGAGCCACCCATCTGGCCCTGACCAGGCCACCAGCAAAGAACCAGTAACCCAGCCTGACCACAGGCCCTGATGGGAGGCACAGGGGAAGCACAGGGAGCCTGGAGGAGGAGGGCCGCCTAACGGGGGGCACCCAGACTTGGGGCCAGGACAGCTAAAGGAAGAGCTGAACTGGCCAGTGGTAAAAAGGAGAAAGGAAAGGACATTCCAGCAGAGGGAACAGAATGGAACAATGGCAACAATGGCCTACAGGCAAGAGAACACATCCTTTTGGAAAACTGGAAGTGGAATCAGGAGGGCTGAAGCCTTGGCTGCCTGTGGGAAAGTGGGAGGAAAGAGGCCTGGAGGCAGAAGGAGTGGGATGGGGGGGATGCACCCCTCTGCAGGGATGGAGGGGAAGGCATTTGGGAAGGCAGGATTCTGCCTGTTAGAGGTATGGGTCCAGTCTGGCTTAATGCCCATCCCTGGGCCTCCCCCAGCTCATCTGTGAAATGACTTGGAGAAAACGACTACCCCCAGTGCCCAGCCTGATCCAGGCAACTCCCCTCTTACTCCAGTGCCCCTATTCGGAGCCAGGCAGGGCCACTCACCTGCAGCACCTTCTCATCATTGAGCTCTGTGAAGACGGTGCCGGTGATCTGGCTGGGTTTCAGTGCCACCCAGTTCAAGAGGGGCATTCGGAACTTGGTCTGGATGGGCTTCTTGGCCTTCACTCCTGGGACGGGGGTTTGGGAGGAGTGGTGAGCACTGGGGATACTGGAGGGAACCTGGGCCCAGGGAGGGCTGATGGGCCAGCCAGGAGGCAGCAGGAGCCCCTAGGCAGAAGACTGGAGGACACTGAGGCCCAGGTCCCTCCCTCCATCTTCCCCAAGCCCCGGGCCCAAGGTGGTCCACTCCACTTACCTGGGCCCAATTCTGAGTCGCGTCTTCCTAAGGCATCAGGAGGACCTCCCGGAGGCGGCGGCGGAGGCACCGGCCCGTCAGTGCCCGGAGGTGGTGGCGGTGGCGGGGGTGGGGGCGGAAGGTCTCCGGGCAGCGGCGGTGCCGGCGGGGGCTCCGGGCTGCCAGGGAGAGGCGGGGCCTGTGGGGGCGCCGAAGGCGGGGCTTCCTGCGGGGAGGGGAGGCCAGGCAGTGGGGGCGGCGGCGGCGGCGCTGCTCCGGGAGCCGGCTCCGCTGCAGGTGCGAGATCTGAGCCAGCGAGGGCGGGGCGGGGGGAGGTGCGAGTCAGCTCCTTGGCTTGGGTGGGCTCCTCTCCGCCTCCCGGCTCTACGCATGCGCTCCTACCTGAGCCGAGCCTACAATCCAAACCTCCCTCGCCCAACTCTGCCCGCCACAGATGCCCCTGGGCTCCCCTCCAGACCATGCCCCGCATCCCCGCCAGCCTGAAGCTCCTGCGCACCTGGGCTGGGGGAGCCGGTCGGCACCCCCGGAGTCGGAGCATCACCGCCGCTTGGAGTTGCCACAGCGACGGGGAGGATCTCGATGGAGACAGCATCCCCCGGCCCCCGCAGGATACGGATTAACCCCTTCTCCTCCAGCTCCTCCACCTTCAGCTCCAGGGCCGAGGGCCGCGTCGGGGCAGCGGGAGGTGCTTTCTCAGGCTCGGGGGGACGCCTGGAGGCGCCCATGGCGGTCGATTCGCTGAAGCGCTCCTGCGAACCCCACGGGAGGGGTCAGTGCCCACCAGCAGGCTCCTTGGCACCAAATCCCCATCCTCTTCCCGGGGTGGAGGGAGATGTCAAGCCTAGAAGCCGCAGCTGGCCTGTTCTTGGGTGCCCGGCCCACCACCCGCCCCAGGCTCTCACCCGCAGGGTCTCCAACTCCTTGCGCGCCTGGCTTAGCTGTTTTTCCAGTTCTGCAATCTTGGCCATGGATTCGTTCTCCGCGTCCCGAAGCCGCTCTGTCAGCTGTAGCACCGGCACATGGTGAGCCCCGACCCGCAGCCCGGCACTGGCACCGCCGGTGAGGGGGCGGCATCAGGCATGCCTGCCTAGAAGACTGGGGGAGGCTCCCAGATCCGCTCAGCCCAGGTGCCAAGGGTGGGCCGAGCCTGGCACTCGAACCCAAGCAAATAAGGAGAGGAAACCAAGGTACCAGTGATGCGGGAGGTGGAGGGAGAGGAGGAGACTGAGCTGGGAGGGGCCCCAGGCACCCAGTTCAGTTCATCTGGGGACTGAGCCTGGGTAGAGGAGGGGCCTGTCAGTGAGGGCACTCACCCACACTCATTGAGAAAGACACCCAACAGATTCAGGCTTTGGATTCAGGCCAGGCTTTGGGGCCAGGCAGGAAGCACGTCCAATGCACAACTAGAACACTGTCTGCTGCCCAGTGCCCATGCCTGCGTGTGCCCTGTGGGCCTGTGATGTGCCAGGCTGGGGTCAGGACCCACTCTCACCAGCGCCACCTGCTCCTGCAGTTCCTCCATGTGCTCCAGCACAGCGTTCTTGGTCTCTGTGTCCTCCAGTAGTGCCCCCACATCAAAAACATTGTCCAGGTATGCCTGGATCTGCACCTGCAGCTTGTCACTCTCGGTAAGCCGAAGCCTCTGTCCCCCAGATGGAAGGAGCAGGGTGAGGCCTGGTGTGCGTGTGGAGGGAGTCTTTCCAAACCCCCCACCACCACTGCCACCCAGAGGAAGGGGCCTGAGCCCTAGCCTACTTTTTCTTTATTTTTTAAGATATAATTCACATATCATAAAATCCATTTTAAAGTATACAATTCAGTCATTCTTAGTATAGCCACAAGGTTGTGCAACCATCACCATTATCTAATTCCAGAACATTGTCATCAGCCCAAAAAGAAACCCCATAGGCGTCAGCAGTAACTTGCCATTCTCTCCTCCCCCAGTCCCTGGCAACCACTAATCTACTTCCCATCTTTATGGATTTACCCATTCTGGACATTTCATATGAAGCAATCATAGAAAGCCGGGTGAGGTGGCTCACACCTGTAATCCCAGCACTGTGGGAGGCTGAGGCAGGCGGATCACCTAAGGTCAGGAGTTCAAGACCAACCTGGCCAACATGGTGAAACCCCTGTCTCTACCAAAAATACAAAAATTAACCAGGTATGGTGGCAGGTGCCTGTAATCCCAGCTACTCGGGAGACTGGAAAATCACTTGAACCTGGGAGGTGGAGATTGCAGTGAGCCAAGATCGTGTCACTGCACTCTAGCCTGGGCGACAGAGCAAGACTCCGTCTCAAAAAAAAAAAAAAAAAAAAAAAAGAAGCAGCAATCATAGAGTGTGTGACCTTTTGTGTCTGGCTTCTTACACCTAGCATGTTTGCAAGGCTCACCCATGTTGTAGCATGTGTCAATACTTCATTCCTTCTTGTAGCTGAATAATATTCCATTGTATGGATAGACCCCCTGCCAGTCTGCTCTCTACTTTTTCTTAATCCTGGCTTTCAAAAATCCAACCCCGAAAGCCCCGCTCCTCCAGGAAACCTCCTAAAAGAAGCAGAGAAGGAGCTGCAGCTTCTCTGCTCAGGCTGGGCCAGGAAGCACCAAGCTGCTCTGCCCACCTTCCCCAGGGCAAGGAACTCCTCCATGTCCTGGGCCCATCCAGCATGAGCCAACTCCTGCTTCCACCCTGTATCTCTGGATTCCCCGTTACGTCCTGGAGTCAGAGCACCTGACTGAGGCTGGTGTTCCCACAGCCAGACCCTGGGCCACCTTGACCTATTCTGGTGCCTGCAAAAATAATTCCACAGACTGGGGGCCTGGTATGTGCCAGGCACTGGTCTATGCATTTAGAGTCAAGATTATCTTCTATGATTCTCCGATTTGACAGATGGCAAAACTGATACTCAGAGAGATGAAGAGACCTATCCAAGGTCACATGGCAGGAAATGGCAGGGCCAGGATTTAAACCCAGGTCTGCCTGACCCCAGCACCCGTGCCGCTAACCACTCAGCCATACTCTGCAGTGGGCAGGCAGTTAAGTCTGGGGGGCAGTACAGGGCTTACCTCCAAGTACAGGTCCAGGCCCAAGTGGGTGAACTCATATTGCAGGAAGACACGGAAGTTCATGTTCTCCACCGAGTGTACCACAATGTTGATGAACTGCATGCAGGCCACCTGGGAGCCAGGGACATGGGCAGATCTATGATCCTCTAGGTGGCGTTGCTCAGTGCCTTCCACCTCCACTTACCCCAAGCCTCCCTCCTTCTCCACAGTTCTCACTCCACTAACTCCCAGCCTTGGCCTGCCCAACATTTCACCTCCATGTTCCCTCAATCCAGCCCCCTGCCAACATCCACCCTTCCCCTACTGACCGCTCAGTCTTTATGCTTTGCTGGGGCAGAGCCCATTGCCCAGCACCCAGGACCCTAGCTACTCCGTGCACCCAAGAGGGCCTGGCCCAGGCCTCAGGCTGCTGGGCTCCTCAGCTCACCATGAAGTCGATGTTGCTGTCCTCATTCCGGAAATATTCCATCAGCTTTTCAAAGCGGTGCTGCTCCCCACACACCTGGGTAAAGGGAATGGCTCTCACTGAGGCCCAGTGACACACGTCCTAAGCTACCTTCTGGCTGCCACACCTGTGCTTCAACAGGCTCCTTTCCAGTTAATTCGAAGTTGAGCCACGTCACTCTTCTGCTCAAAACCTCCACTCTCTCTCAATCTCCCACTCCTCCTCACTTTTTTCCACTCCAGCCACACTGGCATCCTGGCACATTTCCACCCCAGGGCCTTTGCACTTACTGTTCCAACTCCCTGGAGAGCCCTCACTTCCACACCAAGTACCTTGCTTCCTTCACAGCTTTGCTCAAATCTCACTTCTCAGTGAGGCCTTCCCTGACCACCCTGCAACCAGGGTGCTGGGATTACAGACATGAGCCACCACACCTGGCCTCTCTTTATTTATTTTTTATTTTTTTATTTTCATAGAGATGGGGTTTCGGTATGTTGTCCCCCTCCCTCTGCAACATTGCTGGCTTTTTTCTCACAGCATTTATCATTTCCTAACATACTATGTAATTTGCTCATTTATTACATCGCTTCTGTCCTTTCCTGTCTGGTTTCCTTTGTTCACTGATGTGCCCCAGGTGCCCTGTTCCTGACACATACTAGGCACTCAATAAATATTCATTAAACGAATGAATGAATGAAGATATCTTCTGCATCTTATGCATCCCCACACATCTACTTCTTGCAAGCCTGTTAGCCAGAGTCCACAACTCCTGAAGGTATGAACCAAGGCTAGTTTGAATCTGGCAAGGCTGAGTCAGAGGTTCAGCAGGTCCCTGTAGTCGTCCCTGCCCCCACCCAGGTGGTGCCTTTACCTGACCCTGCACCTTCCATTCAGAACTTCCCCATCCCAGATTGTCAAGCCAGTGATGTGGCTCAACTTCAACTTTTGGGTGTTCCCCAAATGCCCACCCAGTGTCCCCAGCTGCCTCCACCAAAGGCCAGAGCTGCCAACAACAAGACTCCAAGCAACACCATAGGGGGAAGTGTATGTTTGGGTGAGGGACTCTGGTACCTCCTTGAAGTTGTCAAAGGCTGCAAGGATGATGTCATGTCCTCCCCGCACCAAGCACACGGCCGCCAGCAGCTCCAGCACCAGAGCCTTGGTTCTAGAGAGAGAAGGGGCAGGTTGTCCCTTAAGAACAGGCAGGACCCGCAGCAAGGGTGGGCACAGGCCTGGCTAGGAGGAGCATAGCGGGTGTGGAATGAGCCTCTGAGACCTGGAGGACAGAGTAAGCAAGGGGCTAAGTAGGAGAAGATTCTAGATATGGGAAAGGTTTGGGGCCTGGACCTCACCTGGGGTTCTTGTTGTTGAGGCTCAGAGCAATCTCATTGACACAGGCTGGGTGGTTCATGACAAGGCTGAAGCCAGACTGGGGAGAGAGGAGAAGTCAGTGTCTCCAGGAAGGGACCCCAGGACTTCAGGCACCCCAGCAGAGTCAGTGCCACGCCACACTGATCTTTAACTGCCCTCGAGTTTAGGAAGTTCTTCATATCCAACTGCAACTTCTTCTGTGGCCACCAAAACCTGGCCTTGTTTCTCTCTCTCTCTCTTTTTTTTTTTTTTTTTTAGATGGAGTTTCCCTCTGTCACCCAGGCTGGAGTGCAGTGGTGCCATCTCAGCTCACCACAACCTCTGCCTCCCAGGTTCAAGTGATTCTCCTGCCTCAGCTTCCCATGTAGGTGGGATTACAGGCACCTGCCACACCCCCAGCTAATTTTTTTTGTATTTTTTTCAGTAGAGACAGGGTTTCGCCATATTGGCCAGGCTGTTCTCAAACTCCTGACCTCAGGTGATCTGCCCGCCTCGACCTCCCGAAGTGCTGGGATTGCAGACATGAGCCACCACATCTGGCCTCTTTTTATTTATTTTTTATTTTTTTATTTTCATAGAGATGGGGTTTCGGTATGTTGCCCAGGCTAATCTCGAATTCCTGGGTTCAAGCAATCCTCCCGCTTTGGCCTCCCAAAGTGCTGGGATTACAGACATGAGCCACTGCTCCTGGCCTCTTTTTAAAATACCTTTGTGTTTCCAAAAGCCAGCATCACGCACCTTGGACACCGTGAAGCTGTCTTAAAGGCTGGCTGGAGGGCCCGGCTTCACCCATCAGACCTCCAAATGAATTGACCTGAGACTGTTCTCCCCTGGCCCTCTGTCCAGCCCTTCTTGATAGGTGTGCCCTGTCCCTATGTGAGGCTCCTTCATGTCCCAGCCATGGGCAGGGGTACTCAGAGAACCTGACAGAGGCAGCAAAAACATGGGCTTCCCCTCAAGATGCATCAGCCTTAAAAGTCCGAGCCAACAGCCCAGATGCACAAGTTCCCCAGCACAGCACCGGGTAAAGGGACAGTGGATCCCAGAGCCTTGGCAGCTTGTGTAGCCCCCTGTGAGGACAGGCTGGGCTCTCTAGTCCCCCAGTCCCACACCCCCCGGCTGACCTGGTAGTTCATGATGGCACGCAGGCACATAATGCAGACGTGGACGTCGTCCTTCTGGCTAACGATGCGGGAATTCCGCAGGGCCTTCCTGCTGTGGGCGGGGGTCAGCCTGGGTGGGGTGTGGAGGAGGCAGCAGGGGTCAGAGTGAGCCCCAGCTTCCTGTTCCCCCACCACTCAGATGGCCTCTGGGGTAAGAGGAGGTACATATGGAACCTGACGGCACTACATCCCGTCTACCCAACCAAAGAGGCTGGCTGAGGGGAGGCAGGCTTCCTCAGTCCTTAGACCTGGGGTCTGGCATGCTTGGAGGAGCAGGGACACGGAAGCTAGACCTGGCCCAACCAAAGAGAGGCTGGCTGAGGGAGGCAGGCTTCTCAGTCCTTAGACCTGGGGTCTGCATGCTTGGAGGAGCAGGACACGGAAGCTAGACTCTGGAGTCTGGGCATGCTTGGAGGATGGGGATACGGTTAGACTCTGGGGTCTGCATGCTTGGAGTGATGGGGATGATGCCAGACTTGGGTCTGGCATGCTTGGAGGATGGGGTCACGGAAGCTAGACTCCGGGGTCTGGCATGCTTGGAGGATGGGGGTCACGAAGCTGTGATCTGGGGTCTGGCATGTTGGAGGAGCAGGGACACGGAAGCTAGACCTGGGGTCTGGCATGCTTGGAGGATGGGGGTCACGGGAAGCAAAGACACTTCCCAGGGGCTTGGTAGGGCGAGAGCCTACAGAAGGAAGAAACATGGGAAGGATCACCACAAGGTGGCGCTCATGGCCACTTGGGCTCATCTTCCAATGTGAGAGGCGGATCTGAATTCACGCCGCCAGGGTTCAGGAGCATCCCAGCTCATCATTTACTAGACGAGTCACTTAATCTCCCTGTCCCTCACTTTCCTCGCTTCTAGAATAGGAATGCTAATAATAGTAGCTTCCTGTCAGAGTTGTTGGGACTATGAAATGGGCTTAGAACAGTGCCTGGCACATAGTAAGTGCTATATGACTGTACTCCCTTATTCTTCGCCAACAAATGTGTGATGTTTTCATTGTTGCAGAACTGCCGACCCGGACTTCCACATGTCAGTCTCCCTGACGATTCTATCACATTCCCAGTAACAGCGGGAGGCCCCACCTTCACCCCCTCCTGCCACATCACCCTTTCCCGTCATTGTGCTAATATGTCAGAGTTTTTGTTCATGCTGTTCCTTCTGCCTGGAATGCCCTTCCCTGTTCCCATGGCTGCCTATAAAGCCTGTATCTGTCTGTGAGACATAGTGCCAGTGTCACCTTTTCTGGGAAGCCTTCCTGATGCCCCAAGTGGTGGCCACCTCCCTTCTCAGAGCTCCCAGGCACATTTCCATGACAGCCTGTCACACTAAATTGTCCCCCACTTAGACTGTGGGTCCCTGAGGGCAGAGTGACCTGTCTCCTGGGTACCTGCCACACATCTCATACATACTAAGTACTAAAAAATAAATGTTTGTTGAATGCATAATTGCATGAATGGACAAATAACATATTGTGAAAGTTTGAGGCTTAATATGCAATCAATCCCCTAGACCCAAAGTAGGAAGCTGGGGATCCACAAGATGCTCTAGGGTCAATCTACTGCCTGCTTCCTGCCTCCCAGCAAGATGCCTGTGTTAGGATGGAGGCACCCAGCCACAGTACTGAACCCAGGGACATCAGTTGAATACCTCACCCTACCCCGCCACCACCCTGGGAAGGAGTCAGCCAGGCATGCACCTGCCCCTAGGTGGCTACGTACCGGGGAGAAGGGGGACACCTGGAGGCCGCATGGGAGAAAACAGGGGATTAGATGCATACAAGAGGGGTCCCACCAACCCAGAAGCTCCCTTCTTATCCCAGACCCATCCAGACTCCAACTTCTAGGTGCCCAACCCTGATGGCTTCTTTTTTCTTTTTCTTTACTTTTTTTTTTTTTTTTTTTTTTTTAGACAGGGTCTCACTCCATCACCCAGGCTGGAGTGCAGTGACGCAATCTCGGCTCACTGCATCCTTCATCCCCTGGGCTTCAGCGATTCTCCCACCTCAGCCTCCTGGGTAGCTGGGATTACAGGTGTGCGCCACCACACCCAGATAATTTTTGTATTTTAGTAGAGATGGGGTTTCATCATGTTAGCCAGGCTGGTCTCAAACTCCTGTCCTCAAATGATCTGCCCACCTCAGCCTCCCAAAGTGCTGGGATTATAGGCATGAGCCACGGCACCCAGCCCCACCCCTGATGGCTTCTTAACATACTGGTGTCCCAAACTCTGTATGAGTCCCTTACTCTGACCCCTAATGCTTGGCTACCCCTCTCACCAACCCCAAGGGCCCTGGGTGGGCTGGCTAGATGCAGCAGTGTGGGGGCTGAATTCTGTTCTCCCACGACCCCACCTTGTGGCCCACATACTTGATGGTCAGGTGGCGGCTTTTGGGCACAGAGGAGGGCGGACCCTTGCTGAGGTCTTCCACCGACTGCTCCAGGGGCTTGTTTTTCTCTGAGTTGGAAGCCCCGTTGTCTGTGCTCTCCATGTCATACCTGGGGACAGGATGCAATGGGGCTGGAGGCCAACACTGCAAGGACCACTTAAGAGGGGGCAGAAGAAACGCAAGGAGAGACAGACCTGCAGGTGAGACTAAGGAGCAGGAGGAGGAGGCTGTGTTCTTGGCACTGTGCTGAACATTGTGGTGGAAGAGAGGCCACCCCTCCCTGTCAGGGAAAGGCTTCTGGAAGGGGCATCGCTCAAGGCCAAATGCAGGGTTCCAGGGTAGACTCGGGCTGCCCGGCTTGGAACTGGCCAGGGGAGTGGGTGAGACGCAGGGAGACGGGGGTCAAAGCTCTGAGGAGTGGCATGAGGCCTAGGGGCAGGAGGCTTACGTGACAGAGCACTGGGCAAAGGCCAGGTACTCGAGGAGCACATCCAGGCCGCGGTTCTCTTCGTTGAGGAACTCCTGCACCCACCTGTGGGCACAGGGCTGCCTGAGCTCCAGCGAGGAAGGAGGTCCTGCCCCAGATGGGCACAGAACAGGGACAGCAAGGGCCCCTGGCGTGCCCTTTCAACCCCCAAAGACCCAATGATACCAGGGGATTCTGGGAGACTTCGGTGGGTCCCACAGCCCAGCCATGCCTCAAGGTGCCAGTCAGAGCATGGGCAGGAGAGGGAGGGGAAGCTGTCCTGGACACCCCCAGGAGGTGGTCCACAGGCACAGCCCTGTGTGGGGGGCCGGGGGAGTAGGAAGGGGAAGGTCCAGGGGTTGCCTGGAAGCAGAGCCTTCCTAGTCCCAGAGAGGAAGATCTGAGCCCTCACTCACCCAATGTGGTTTGTCCTCAGGGAGGTCTCCAGCTCCCGTAGCACCTGCGTGGACTCCTGAACTCGCCTCTTAAACTGGGGACCGAGAACAGGGAAGGCTGGTGGGTGGAGCCCAGCCTCCCACAGGCCCACCAAGTCCTGAGGCAGCAGGCAGCAGCGCCCACCCTCCTCCGACTGGCACAAGTGGCCTTTCATGCTCAGCCTCCCCCACCACCTCCACACACCTGCCTAGCAGAATAAGAACTCACAGGCTGCGTGTGCTCCCCCATACACAGACACACAGGGTGCACACACCCCTGATACATGCACACACTCAAAGAGGCAGGGTGTGCGTGCACACACACAGCACATGAACATCCATATACATGCACTCTAAATATAAACATAGGATATCCACACATCCCTACATGGAAACACACACACATTCTCTCTCTCTCCTGTATACGGACTCAAGGGTGCACACACACACACATCCATAAGTGGACAAAATACACACATAGTATACATACACACCTACGTATGGACATATGGGCTGCACATATGTATACACACAGTATAAGTACACAAAATGTGTCCATGTAAGCACACACAGGATGCACAGGGGAATGTCTAAAGGGCACGCCCAGGGCACTCTTAGTCCCCTATAAATACACAGACACACACGAACACACACACACATACTCATACATGCACTCACACATGCACATAGAAAAGTCTGTACACACAGTTACTCCAGCTGTCCAGAGCTTGGAAAAGGTCGGGGAAAGGGACAGAGTAAAGAGGGGAGACATGTACCCCCAGGTTGGACATCCAATCAGCTGCTACCTTTCGGCTGACCCCACCAGTATCCACATAACTCTTCAGCTTCTGGATGTAGGCTGCAGGGGGGTTCTTGACTTGAAACCGCTCCTGGGGAGATGGAATGGGGTGTACAGAAAACCAACCAGAGCTACCCCAGGGCAAATGACCAGTTCTCGTCCCAATGTTCCATTCTCAGCTCTGATCTGAGGTCCCAGGCTTTCTTAAGACGCCTCTGAAATACCAAAGGTATAAACCCAAACAGTCCACCAAGCCACTTTCTTTGCTTTTATGTTATCTTTCTCTTTTCTTGCCCTGTGATCCAGGCTGGAGTGCTGTGGCACCATCATAGTTCACTGCAGCCTCCTACTCCCCAGCTCAAGCAATCCTCCCACCTCAGCCTCCCAGGTAGCTGAGACTACAGGTGTGTACCACCACGCCCAGCTAGCATCGGGCCACTTTAAAGACCCTAGCCTAGGCCTAGTCTGCCCTTCCCAGATGGCCTCCCAGGCCACAGCCCTGACACAACTTTGGGGTGGACTATGCAGGGTTAGTCCTGCGTTGGCAGGATCCTGTGTGCTCCTCTCCTGTGCTCAGCGATGCAATTCCTAACTCCCCCACCCCACTGCAGGCTCCAGCGGCCACTGACACAAAGAGGCAGGGACCACGGCAAAGACCCCCTCCCCAGAGGGGCCCCCACCCTTCCAACCCAAACCCCTCAGATTCACCAAGCCACCCCTCAGACTTTCACTTCTTCCAGCCCTTTGAGCCCCCAACCTCTGAGATGCCAGGCCGAGCTGCTCCGAGGGGTCCCCTACCACAGCCCCAGAGCCCCCAGGGGCAGCTCCCCACCCTCTTCCCACTGCCCAGCCCTTACCCCTGGACTGCTGCCCAGCCAGCCCAGGCCATCTGCTTCATTAGCAGGAGGCGAAGGCCCAGCCTTGGCTCCCAGGGGAGGCTCTCAGCTCCCTCCCCACCCCCAGCCTCTGCAGCTCCCTCCTTCACAGAGTCCCTGCAGTAGCCGAGCCCCACCCAGCCTGGCGCTGGGAGAGGGTCTGCCCATGGCTGACCACAGCCCTTGAAGCTGGAGAGGCGGGGGCAGCTGAGTGACCCGTGAGCCCAGGCGCCTGGATGGAGCACCAAAGCAGGGGTCCAAAGTGGCTGGCCTTGGGGAGTTGCTGGTGGACTGCAGCTCCTCTGGACCCAAGGTAAAAGGGCAGGAATTCCCGCCCCTTCCCCCCTCCCTCCCATGGGGTCAGATGAAGATGTCCAACCCCAGGGTTGCCCTCTCCCTTCCCCAGTCCAGAGAGGTTTCTCAGGAAGCTCAGAAGGAGGACAGTGACAGTGACAAGGCCCCATCTGCCCCAGCCAGTGCCCCTGAACCAGCCCTGCCAGCTCCTCTGAAGCTGACCCGGCCCTGCTCATGACTCACAAGTTCTTTTGGGGAGTTCAAGAGAAGGGGATTCGGGAGTCCTGCAGACCCCAGTACCCTCCCCAGGTGCTACATTGGCCACTGAGCAGAGTCTTGGTCCTATGGGCAGTATGGCTGTGCCCCTCTCCCCATAGCCCCAGCCTGGTCAGGGCTGGGTGCTGACAGTGGGAGGGAAGGGGTACCTGGGCAGTGCTGGCACCTACCTGATCACAGATGAGCTCCCACTTCTTCTCGTTGTCATACTGGCTCAGCAGCTGGACTTTGTCCGGGGGCAAGTTCATGCAGTTCTGGGTAGAGGGAGGACAAAGTAAGACCCCTGAGCCTGGGGCCCCAACAAGTGGGGAGAGGAGAATGGGCATTTGGGGGAACCCACTTGGCTCCCAGGAGGTACATCACCCCCCGAATCCTCTGACCCTAGGAGACAAGTAGTGTTATCCAAAGAGAAAGCCAAGAGAGACAGAGCACCTTTCCCGGGGCACACCAGCTAGAAGGGACAGCAGGATTTGAATTTGAGTCTGCCTGCGCTGTGTCACCCCCCACACGGCCTCCCTGGCCTGCCTGGTGTGGAGACAGGTGCGTGGGTTGTCAGCCTACCTCTCTGGGGACCTGAGACACTTCTGGGCTCCAGTTTCCCTGTTGGGGCATCATCTTTTCCCCTATTCTGGTGGGAAACTAACAGGGGAGCCATCACCAGTCAGGCCGAAGTGTGGCCTATTGCCAGTGTCCCACTTCCACGTGCCACCAGATCCCACGTGTGTACAGACCAGGCCTAGGGCACCAGTGCCTCACGAATGCCAGAAAACCTCCTGCAAGGAGGGTGGACAGTAGCCTTCTCCTCATCCCTCTCCAGCCCCCTCCCATCTCGGGGAGAAAGCTGAGAAAGGAGGGAGAGGTCTGGGGGAGCTGACGGCAGCCATGTCAGCAGGCAGGGAGTTCCAGATCACAGCTTCAGGGGTGGGGAGATTTGGGGGGAAGGTCACTCCACCACAGCACTGGGGAGAAGAGTCAATGCCCTGGGTCTGTGGTGTGGGCCGCCCAGCTGGGACTCCCCCAGGAGCTGAGAAAGGTCAACAGAGCTCCGCGTGGGTCCTCCTCCTCCCCTGGCCACAGACAACAAGGGTGTGGTGCCTCTGCCACCACAGAGCAGGTTACAGCCAGCCCAGGGCTGCAGAATCAACCAGGTGTCAATAGCACCAGGGGC